TTGTCGGTTGTTGGGTTGTTGGGTTGCTTGGGTTGCTTGGGTTGTTTGGGTTGTTTGGGTTGATGGGTAGTTTGGGTTGTTGTTGTTGGTGGCCGGGCTTTGCATATTCGAATTCTGACGCACAGAGAAAACTGAATGAAATATATTTTCCAATCAAATTGAAATGCAAACATGTGCAACGATTGTGTGGAATTCTGGGGGAATTGAGAGATAGATGGCTGGCATGCGGATGCAGCCGAAAATTGGAATTGAAAAAGTCATGATAACAGAAAATTGCACGCTCTGTGACTTTGAATGACAGATGAGTTTTCCTGCGGCTGCAGCAGCAGTGGCAAAAACAACAACAGTTGCAGATACTAAAACAACAAAGCGTTAACAATGAAAATGTCGCGCACGCGTTGGCCAAAAAAAAAAAAAACGAAAAATAACAAAGGCGAAATTCGGAGCGAGGAAAAACAAATGACAGCTGCAAAAATGGCAGGCGAAAAATAGCAAAGCCAACAATGACGCCTACAACAACACCTACAACAACAAAATAGTGTGTGTGGGCGGAAAAGGTCTGGAAACTTAATTCAAAATCAACAATAAACAACAAAATATGAAAGATGAAAATAGTTGAGCAGGAAGTTGAGGTGTTAAATACCCTTAATTAAATGCAAAATAAAAGTATGATGGGTAAAAATAATAAATAAAATATAGTTCATAAATTATAATTTAAATCTCAAAATAAACAATTGTTCATTGGGAAAAAAAATACATTTAACTAAAGAGCTTGTATTAGAATATTTTATAAGTACTTTTCTATAAAAAGCTTATTCTCTTGAGTTCCTATATTTGCTATATAGACTTCAGATAGACTCCTTTGATTTTCAGGTTCCCTTAGAAAATGGCGGAAACGGAAGTTGCCTTCGCCGAAAGACGGTTGACAATAAATGGAAACTAGAGGACCTACCGCTTCGCATACAAAACCCTAACCAAACAGAAATAAACTGAAACAAGTTGAACCGTAGAAACTCCTCCACGCAGAGTCGACCTTTGGGTTGCTGTTTTCTTTTTTTTTTTTATTTCTTGGTTGGCCTAGCTGGCTGAATGACTGACTGACTAACTGACTGAATGACTGAATGGCTGAGGGGCTGACTGGCTGGCCGGGTTGGCTGCTTCCGCTTTTTACGTTCATTGCCTCTGCCACAATTTTAATTTTCCTAATGGATATCGATCCCGGAGTCGTCGTCGCAGCAGCAGCAGCAGCAACAGCCCAGCAAAAGCAGAAGGAACGACAACAACAGCAACAAAACTGGCTGGCAAAAAGGATAATAGACTTCTTTATTGTGCATGCGACTCTATAAAAGTCAACTCCTGGACTTTGTTGTGTGCTCCGCTCCTGTTTCTCTCCTGTTTTCTCTCCTGTTGTGTTCTGTTGCTCATGCGAAAATCGAGTGGGTGGTGGCCAAGGGGATGTGGGGGGAGTCCAATGGACAAACCGGGCCAGACACAAACACACTCAAGCACCTATGCACTAACAAAAAAAAATTATAATATACTAATGAGTATTACAAAATGTTACAATATACTTGTGTTTCGGTGCGTATTTAAATAAAAACTGGTTGCTTATTTATATATATTTAGTAATTTTATTAAATACTTTCTTACCCTTTCTTACGTTTTAACTTATTTAAGTTCAAAATTTGTTACATTTATAAATCATTACTATTTTAAACTGCCTTCCTAGGAAGTTTGTCTATTTCGCGACCTATTTATTTGAGAATTCTGTAAGAACACAAACTTTATTCACATAATAAAATGACTAACTTCTGATATATTATCGCAGTGCACGAAAACACCGAGCTAAGGCTGCATAAATACTTAAGCAACAACCTCACACAATAAATAATCTGCTACGTCATGCAAAAGGGAAACTCCAATGGAGCCCTTTGAAATGTGCGGAGAAACGAGGGGGTTCCAAAGAGTTGGCAGACATTGGAAATTAGATTTCAGCCGGGCTTAGATACCTCCTCGTTCCCTTCCCCACTCCCCTTTCCCCTCTGATGTAATCCGACCGCAACTACACATGGCAACGTTTATTCGGAATTCCATTTTACATCTGCCCCGGATCCGCCAAAGTGCGAAAATTAAATGAGCCACAAGTCGGAGCAAGAGGTCGAAGGATTTCCACACCTCTGTTTGTGTAGGTGTTCTTCCTAGTTTCCTGCCTCTATTTGCATAAATTCTTGCCCAGTTCTTTTTTGGCAAATGTTTTTCGGGGATTGCAAATTGCCTAAACCGTCATTTGGCTCGAATTTGTGTTTATATTTGCATTTGCATTTCGGTCGAAGAATAAATAAAAACTACAAAACCAAAAGGTTGGCAGATGATTCAACAACATTTTGGGAAAAACAAAAGTGAAACTTAAGAAGGGTTTAAGATTATTTAATTTGGTTTATTGTAAAGATTGATAGTAATATGAGGTAATACGTAGAATTTACTTAACAAAGTAAAACCAATATATCAGAAGATAAACCAATATATCAGAAGATATGAAAATTATATTGAAAGTAAGCTGCTTGCCTTCAGTTAAGTCAAGTTATTTATTTGTTTACTTAAATGTTCATGTAGTTTTTCAACGGCTGATTTATAAATTTACTAAAAGCTTATTAATAAAATCATATGAAAATAGAACTTGAAATTTTTGTTATTTATTAGATGTGGCACTCAACTAGATAATTGCAATATTTTTCTTATTTAACTGGTTAAATAAGATTTTTAAGTGAATCATTTGATTACAGTTGTTATAGTATAAATAAACTAGTCACTTAATCTTTCTTATTAGCAGGCGACATTAAAGACAAATTGGACTTGCAACTAGTGTCATTTGGACCAGGAAAGGTATTTGTCTGACAGCTAAGATCTGCCGTAATCCAGAAAATCTGCACCAAACAATGGCTAAAATAGCCCTTCGCTCAACTCCAATTAATCGCAACAAAACAAAACCGTTTCGACCAACCAGTTGAACGGTTTTCCACCGTATCGATGCGCAGTGGCTTGAGTGACATGTCCTAATTCGTAAGCGTTGACTTTTACCGGCATTTCAATTAACCCAATTAATGGACGGGACCTAATTAAATTTTGAATTCATGTTGCCAGCAAACGCACACCAACACTACACACACACACAGCTAACGTGGCCCACACGGATACACACACACACAGATGCACGCGGACACACAGACATCAGTCAGCTGTTTCTGTTGGCCAGCTGTCGCTCGAGTGCGACGGAGATGGCGCGAAAGTCCCGCAATTCGGGGGTGGCTGGGGGGTTAACGTTCGGGGGGTGGCCGTGGGTTAAGCTTAGGGGAGGGGGAGGGGGCTTTGCCGCTGTAACAAGTATGTACTAATGTCGGCGTCTGGCTAACTGAGACACGGCTATGAATGAGTGTCCCGAGCGGAGCAAGCGGGCAAACTGAAACTGAAGCTCGATGACCTTGATTATACAACACAGAAGCAGAAGCAGCAGCAGTAGCAGCAGTGGCAAAAGCAGCAGCGCCACCCCCTCAACCCCATCGAACCCCCTTTTCCAGCAGGGCCACTCCTTCAAAATGCCCTACGTCAAATAAAAATTGCAAAAATACTGAGAGAATACAGGCACTCAAAAAAAATTATAATAGAAACAGTTTTAGGAATGCGCAACAAATTTGTATAAGCCAAAAAACTAATTCGTGGACTGCAAAATAGTATTATAATTTGTATAAAACTAAAATAATTTTTCCCCAATGCAAACCAAATCAAAAAATAAAAGTCGGATAAATACTTGTATCTCTTAATCTTAATTAATTAATAAGTTGATAAAGCCCAAAACGTAAATCTTCATATGTCTTCGTATGTCTTTTTTGGTGAATATTACTTTTTTTAGAAGCTTCCATTCGAGGCAACAATTTTTTCGAGTGCATCCCTAGAGCTGTGTAGATGGTAACTGGTAACTGACATTACAACAAATCATCGGCCAGCAAATGTTGGCAACTGGGTGCCAAGTCAACGAACTGCTAACCGCAACACAGACACACACCATCACACCCCCACACCCCCACAACCCCGCACCTACACCCACATACCCCATCTTATACATATATAAATTGCCTTATGGAGAGGGAGGGGGACGTCATTAAAATTGCAACAGGGCCTTGAAGGAGCAACAGAACCGGAGATTGAAGCGCCACCCGAGAAACCAGAAGACAAAATCAAAAGATCAATAATTATTATGATGTTGCAGCACACCCCAAAAACGAGACGCCTTCAGACCGCAAGAACCGAACCAAGTCAAGATGGGACCAGGTGAGACAGGTGGGGGGGCGGGACTCCAAGGGGCTTGGGGGTGTTATAGCCGAAAAGTTCGACAAGCGCATTACAACAATTCCAAAAGGGGATGGCAAAATAAAGGGTAAAAGAGAGCGAGGTGCGCGCTTGCTTACAAGTGCAACCATTTTGTAGTACAAACTTCGAAAACCAAAAGCGAAATTGGCAAAACAAAGAGACAGTGGAGGGGTAAAAGGGGATGGAAAGGGGAGAGGGGGAGGTGGGGAGAAAAGGAGTCCACCTTCTGACTGCCTCCATTTGTGGATTGTGGATCCAACAGCTGGAGTCGATCATGCGCACTCCACTCAACCGATTGGCCCGCTTCGCCGCCATTTAGAAAACGGCCCTCCAAACCGAAGCGAAAGAGAGGCAAACACCGTGTGAAAGAGATGAAAAACCCCAACCAAATGCCCAGAGAGCGAGTGCGACAAAAACACCTGTTCCTGTTTCGAAAACGCCAGAGATCCGAAAAACCAAAGCGACGGACAGAAAAAAAAACAAAAACAACAACAAGAACAAGAACATCGGAACCGGTTGCAGCTGCAGCGAAATCGAACGAAAACGAAAAACATCTAGTCGCACTGCTCTGGCCAACTTTCGTATCTGAAAGATACATTTCGGGGTGAGTGCCTGAAGCGAGTGGCACGGAAAACGACGACCGGTTTAGTCGTTCAGCAAACTCCGTGCAGTGAGCATGTTTGTACGCCAGACATCGTCGTCATCGGTCGGTTGTCGTCATCGCTACTATATAGCCGTCGTTTCGCGAACATCCATCGTTTCGCTGCCGTTGCCGTCGCCTTTTTCCGATCCGGAACGAGACTCTTGTTGAATCGCGTGTGTGCACCGCCCAGGGATCTATCCATCTCTCTATCCATCTATCTGTAAATCCATAGATTTTCCCTTGGAAAAGCCAGTGTAATTCAAGCCAAAACTTAAATGGAATAAATAACCCTACAAGTGCCTTACCAATACTAAATAGAAATATATAAATCACAACCGCTCAATGCCGGAAACTTCTTGAGTCTGGCTCCAAAAGCGCTAGCTCTCGCAAAGATCCCCAGCCCCAGAAATAAATATCTCGAGTGTGCTTCGCCGAGTGTCCTGTCAGCCAAATATATGGTAATGGCAGAGATTGGTGGCCATTTGGCTCACCAGCTACCGTTGCACAATCACAACCACAATCAAACTGGATTACAGCCATCGCTGGTGATGAACCATCACCTGGATTTGGATTGCCATGGACACGATGTGATAAGTGAGTACCGAAAACCAAGGGTTTATATTCAGAATTTGAATGGGAAGAGATAGGATATTAATCCCTCAGATAACACGTGCATTTACCGGGGGTATCCTTCTAAAAGAACAATAGGTTGCCTTTCTATATTATGGAGATAAATCCTTTAGATACAATTGTTTGCTTTAAATACTTTTGTGTGTGTACAATTCTCTGTTGTATTTTTTTCCGCGTTCTACTCTTAGTTAATTATGATTACCTTTACCCATTTACAATCAGCTTTATAAAATCTAGACTAAAAATAGTAAGCCAGACAAAAATAAAATGTAGGTAAATGTGATTTTAATTTATAAATAAAGAGGCCGTTTTTAACTGGTTGTCAGCTAATTTTAAACTATTTCATGCTAACAATAACTTATTCAAATAATAGTCTATCCATTTCAAATCCCATTAATATCATTACATAGCAATCGCTTGATTGTCGAGTCATTTACCTCTAATAAAGCTATTTAAAGCAGTTAATGACTTATTTATGACTATTGTCGCAGTCCCCAAATAAAAATTGGCAAAATTAAACTGTCATTAAAACAGAGCGAAGCATAAAGTAGTCACTGAACTGTAACTTTCTCGAATCGTAAAAATAGAAAAACATTAATAAAGCTATTTTTGGACTTCAAATGTTCGTAAAATTATTTTACAACAATCGTTGTTTAATGTTCGTAAATTTTTTAAACATCTAGTTTTAAAGTATTTTTGTTAGTTTTCTTAAAATTTTAAAACTCCCCGACAGCAGATATCAGAGATCAAGGCTCGAAACTCAGAGGGCTGAAAAATCTTGAACTGCTGGCCAAGTTTATTTGTAATGAAGGTTAAAGTTATTTTTATACAAAAACCATTAAAAAGGTTAGGCACGCGTTGAACTCTTTTCTGCCTTGAAACTTTTTTAATTTTGCCAATGGATGCGATGAGGACAAGGTTGAAGAAAAAACCTTGCAATGAAATACAAAAGAAATGCAATTAAAAACGAAAATTTAAGACTAAAATAAAAATAAGAATTATAAATCCATAAATAATTTTTAGTATGCAATTCCGTTGTCAAATTGGGCGATAATTTTTGTATATTGAAAGACTTTCTGAGGTTCTATCTTAAAGATCGGATCTTTTTGAGTGACAGTCGTTAGCCGACTTATCACTGCAACTTTTGTAATTGGCTTAGACCCAATCTCGACCTGTCATTTGTTGCTTTTGTATGGCAATAACTTTTAAATTATAGCCGTATTTTATTTTAAGCACACTTTACATATAATATAAAGGCCAATTAACGGTTGAATGACATTTTAATGTTAAGCAATTAAGCGCGTCCAAGCAATTGCACGAAAAAAGCCAGCAACAAATAATCAAAAATGTATCTCATGCGATAATGTGACAAATTTTTAACTAGGCAAATGTTTGTTAACCAAAAATGCATTTTATGAATTCATAAACCAAGAGTGTCATTAAAAAATGTCGTCTGCGTGTGACAGAAAGAGGAATATATTTTATTCAAATTTTATTTCGTATGCTAAATTGTGACAAATGTTTTGGCTGACAGTTGTCTAACCAAACGAGCGACCGCAGAACACAAAAAAGCCAAACAAAAAATGGGCAAAAAAGAGGAAAACATGAAAAATCATAATCGTAAGCACAAACACAATGGTTTGGGATAAATTGAATTATAAATAAGCCAGGATAATGCAGTACACGTATTTGCAGCGAACTGCAAAACATTTAAATTGCATTGCAATTTTGTAATTGTAATTTAAATTCAAATTAGTTGTCGGCCGTGAAACGCTGGTAAATATTTAATGCCCGAACATTTTAATTTGAAAACTTTTCACAAAGTTTTCCTCTCCATCAGTGTTTAGTTTGTGTTTATGTGTGTGTGTGAGTTGGCTGACAAAACTTTAAGTTCGAGTTTTTGTAGTTTCAAGTTGATATTTGAAATGAAAACAATTTTTGTAATTTTTGTTTTCCCTTCTAGTATCTGTGAGCTCCTCTCTCTTTTGTTAGTTTTCTGAGTTCCGAGGCGAGTTTTGTTTGTTTGTTGATTTTTTGAGCGCTGTAAACATTTTAATGAGTTTTTCATGTCACAGACGCAGGCCTCCAGTCAACATGTCGTTGCTAACTTCTCAAGTAGTCGTTAAATTAATTAAATATCGTAGAAACAAAACGAAATTCCCAACTGAAATATCCGAGCTTTTGTTTGCTCTCTACGCTCTTTAGGAAATTAAATCGGAAATCGGAAATCGAAAATCGTTGCATACATTATGGCGTTGAACTAGTTTCACTTTTTCATGTTCGCGCTGGCCATAAAGTTGTACAACTTTATGTTGAAGACCATAAAAAATTGACAATTATTTGCGGCCATAAAATTCAAACGATTTTTATTTTTATAGTTTACCAATTAGCTAAAAATTTGAATAAAAATCAGTGGGGGGAACGCACGGATTTTTGCCTTGTACATGCCCCCAATCTAATTTATATTAACTCCATTTAAACTGCTCGCCAGCCTAAATCATCGTATGCTAATTTGGATTTTCGATGAATAAACACAAAAATGAAAACAAAAACCTTTCGAAAGTTAATTGTGAAAAATTGATTGGGCAAATGTTTAGCCAATGCACGAAAAGAGTTGAAATAATTTTCGGAACAATTTGTTAAGTGTCAATCTTGGGCCAAATAAGGTTAACTTGTCGGCGATCGAAGAGAAGAGAATGGAACCAGCCTTATAGATGAAGCGCGTTAGTTAGCCATAGATCACAGATCTCTGGTTTATTTATAGAGTTGCCGAAACGTCAGTGAAAGGAATAGAGGTTTTTTGTATACGTAACGAGATTTGGTTTAGAGTGCCATAAAATTAATTATATGACCATTCTAAACGTGCTTCGAACGAATTTTTATGGAATTCGGTATTGTTTTTGGGTAGTATTTTAGTTGTATGGTACTAAAGCACTGGGTTAAGGTTAAAAATTGATTGAATATTTGTTTGAATCGTCATAGCAAAGGGTTTGCTTTTGTACCAAAGCTATTAATTAAATTATGTTTAAATTTTGTACTTTTTATAAGATAGAAAGATTTTCTATTTCTCGAGCCACTAAACAAATTATTTAAATTTAATTTCATATTAGAAAAATATTCTATTACTGAATTTCAACTTTAAATATTATCCAAAAATACCTTCTGCAATGCTGACGTCAAAAAAGAGGGCCACTCCCATTAGTGTGGCAATGGCAGACAGACGTTATCTATATTTTACGAGTTCCTATCCAAATTCCTGTTGTCCCTGGCTGACATTTTTTGTATTTTGCCTTCCCGTTTCCGGTGGGTTTTATTTCGGATTCGGAATCCCTGCTGCTGCTGCTGCTTGGGGTGTGATAAAGTTATTTAGGCGCAATCCATAAATTCCCGAGCCTGAACCCAGAGAGACCCAAAAGGCAGAGCCGAGCAGACAGAAACGTAAATCCCAAAGCTTATCTGATTTTGCACTTCGGTCCCCGGCACTAGATCAATATGTTATGGCCGGATTTTTGGGCCGTACCTGGGATTTCGGACCCAAGACAGCTGTGCGCCTGCGCCTTGTGTCACCTCCACTTTTCCCCCCAACCCCTCGATGTTCCCAGCATCGCAGCATTTGAAATCTGTGTCTGTATGCCAGAGACACAGCCTGGTCTAGAAGACAGTTGCCAGATATCAAAATCACTCCAGGTATATTCCCAATTCAGCTCGCAGTTTTCGCCTCTTTTTTTGCATTAATTAACAACTCGCTGAGTTGAGAAATTAGAGAATTATGCCTGGAATTTCCGTTCGCAGATGAGACAAATAAAAACAGCTTTATTGGGGGTCTGATTAGCTGATTAGCCAGGAAAGCGTCTCGGAAGATAATGAAGATGGGGTGATAATAATGGAGAAGCAAGTTCGTTGAAAACATTTTGAATTTGCAATATTTAATATAAAGATCTAAAATACAAATTCAAATGTAGTATGGTACATTTACCTACTCCAAAAAACCTATTAAGTTTTTAAAATAATGTTACCCTTTGTATGACCCCAAAAAACAAAGCCTTAAATTCATCTCTTTATGAACAATTTAAGGAAAATTTAAGCACTTTAAGTATCGATGTGATTGCAGAAGCCTCGACCTGATTAAAGTACAGGCTCATCGCTTAATGCAAAATACTCCATTTTGTGTTATTTTTAACTGAAATGTTTTAAAGACCAGTGACTCCGTCGAAGCTCTCTAACCTAATTAATGCACTTCAAGATATTCTTAAAACACCCCGGCCCATGGAATTGGGCATATTAAAGCAGCCGCCAGCCTATTAAAGTGCAATTAAAATTTTTTTTAAATTCTCCGTGTTGCTTTTTTTCCTCTCTTGCCTTGTTTTTTTTCCTTTTTTTTTTGTAAGTTCATTCAAGGTGTCAGCAGCTTGTCAAGGTGAGAGGCGGCTACTGTTTGGTCGGCTGGAGGGAAAAATATTAAATTTCAACTGGGGAAATGGCCGAGGGAAACCAGAGAAGCGGAGAGCTGATAAATGTGCAGTTCAAAAAATTAGTTGGGAGTTAACCAAACAGAGGATAAAAGAACAACTGATGCGCCACGCCCGTTTATCGCGTGAGTTACCTGAAAAGCCAAGAGGAACCAGGGAAATATCCACCAAGTGTGCGGGAAAAGGGGGAAAGCCGAGGGGGGAAAGGGGAAAGCTCGTGCCCCATTCTCTCCAGGCGCTCATTAAGTGTGGCGAGCGTTTTGCATTTCCCGCTGGGATTTTCGGTGGAGCACCCGCTGCGCCGAATGACACCTGGCCAAATACATATATAATTCGGATATAACCCATACATATATATATATATGCTCGCATATATAGTATCCCCGAGTGTGAGGAGCAACTCAGGTGCAACCAAGGGGGATATATCCCCCGTGTGGCATTTTGGCGTGTTGCATGCAATGCGGTGGCCACTTTAATGGCGTCGTTTTTAAAGCT